CATTTCAAATTATAAACCCATTTCACATCATTTGGCTTCTTGATTGACTCTTCGACAAGCTCCCATTCGAACCATTCATGGCTTGATCCAAATTGATTGGTTATGTTTCAACTAACATCATCGTTTCTTCTATTAATTCACTATCTGCGTCATCTACTTAATCTAGAAATCTCTCATATCCATCTAGCCTTTTTCGGCTCAGTTCATACTCTAGTCAATCTCCAAACGTTCTGCTTAGGAGGTTCTTCATTTCGATTAGTTATGACCTCAGTCTATTGGTATTCATCAATCACAATTGTGACTATTTCATGCTCATGTCAAACTGAACCTTGACTTAAATCCCACTTTTTACTTTCATCCACTAGAACATCTCGACTAATCACAAGTTTATCATCATTTGGTGAATATAGCTTGTATAGATCAGTCGAATGATAACCTATGAGCACTATAGCCTGGCTTCGATCATCTATTTTCTTCCTCAATAGTTCACCTACATGCCTAAATTACATCGATCCAAACATTCTAAGATGACTAGCATTTGGCTTCGCTCTTGTTCAAGCCTCATAAGGAGTCCTCTTGACTATCTTCTGGGTTGGACATGTGTTTGGAATGTATATTGTTGTCAAAGCTGTTTCACCCCAAAATCTCTTTGGCATATCTTTAGCTTTCAACATGCTCTTACTCATGTTCAGTATACTTCAATTATTCCTCTCAAGTATGCATTATGCTGAGGTGTATATGGTGCAATGACCTCATGCTTTATTCCTTCCTCATGTCAAAATCTAGCAAATTCTAGAGAAATGTATTCACCACCACCATCAGTTCTCAGTTTCTTCAATTTGCATCCACTTTGCTTCTCGACAAGCAATTTGAACTTCTTGAACTATGTAAATACCTCACTCTTCCTTTAAATAAGGTAAACCCACATATATCGGGTGAATTCATCTATAAAATTCAAAAAATAGTAGTTACCTCCATTCGATCTTACTTTAAAAGGTCCACACGCATCAGAGTGAACGAGATCAAGCTTTTCTTTCAACCTCATAGGCAAGTCATGTTTGAATAATTTCTTAGCCTGCTTTGCTTTGCAACATTCCTCACACATCTGACTTGGTTCTTTCACTTGAGGTAAGCCATACATCATCTTTTTCTGTTTGAGTATACCTAAACTTCTGAAGTTTAGATGTCAATACTTGTGATATCATAGACAGTTCTTGTCTTCTTATCAGTCAAAGAAAGACACTTATGATCAACCATGTTGGACTCTACCTTGAAGGTCCTGTTGTCTACTAATGTTGCCTCTAGAATCAACCTTTCATCATCATTATACACCTTCATCTGGTTCTTTTCTACCTTTAAGTTGTACTCATTTGCGAGTAATTGACATATGTTTATCAAGTTACTTGTCATCGAAGATACATACAACACATCAGTGATGTTGGCTTTTCGACCTTCCTTTCTGTCAATATAGATATCTCTTTTTCCACCTGATGTGATGTGTCTGCCATCTGCAAACTTTATCACTTTCTTAACTGATTTATCTAGCTAGGTGAACTAGTTTTTATTACCAATCATGTGGTTATTGCATCCTGAATCTAAATACCACATGTTGGTTTGCTTAGTGTTTGACTAAGTATTAGCCATGAGTAGCACGTCATAAGAATCACTATCTTCAGCATGTGTATGTTGCACTTCATCGTTATCTTTCGTTTATTCTTCCTTCTTTCTTCGACAGTCTCGAGCATAGTGGTCAAATCCTTGACAGTTGTAACATTGCACCTCATTCATGACAACTTTCTTCCCTTAATACTTCTTGCCCATGTCTTTCTTGATTGAACCAGAATGATTCTTTGAGTTCTTGTTTGACTTCTCATCATTAGCAAGATTATTCACCTATTTATCCTTCTCTTTCCTAGATTTCTCTATGAATCTTGCTTGTAGTGCTTGTTCGTCTACCTTCTCCCTTTTGAGTTCTTTTGCTTCAACCTCGTCTCATGAGCCTCTGACGAAGCTTGAAGTTCTTCTAACTTCATCTCAGCTAGGTTCTTGGACTCTTTTATTGATACTACAATGTAATCAAAATTCACAGTCATATATCTCAATCCTTTATAAATCGTTGATTGATTCACCACACACCTTCATCTGATTTGTTAACAACACCACACGTGAAAGATATTTCGAGACTGATTCATCTGAGTCATCTCAAATTATTTTCTCAACGTCTGCAACTTCACCATTTTCACTTTTTCATCTCCACCGTACAAGTCCTTCAACTTGTCTCACGCTCCTTTGGTCGTTTCTTCTTCAATTATCTTCTCGAACACGTTAGGATCATCACATTGGTGAATCAAGAATAGAGTTTTTCCATCTTTGTTCCTTTTATCATTGTGCGCGCAGCTTTTTGAACATCGTCTGCATTTGCTTCCAATACATATACTCCATTATTCACGATTTCATACACATCTTAAAATCTGAAGATGACCTTCATCTACGCAACCCACCGTTTGTAGTTCTCACCTTTGAAAATCGATTGATTCGTTGGAAATTGCATTGAAGTTGTTGTTCTGTATGCCATTACATATCCTCTCTGGATCGCAACCTAAGCTCCTTGATACCAAATTTGTTGGGGAGAGAGAGAGAGAGAGAGAGAGAGAGAGAGAGAGAGAGAGAGAGAGAGAGAGAGAGAGAGAGAGAGAGAGAGAGAGAGAGAGAGAGAGAGAGAGAGAGAGAGAGAGAGAGAGAGAGAGAGAGAGAGAGAGAGAGAGAGAGAGAGAGAGAGAGAGAGAGAGAGAGAGAGTAAAATGAATTTGTGAAAAATAAAATTTTTATTAAGTGAAGTTGTTATTTAACAATTAAAGTCCAAACCCAAAACTTACAAAATACGAAATATAAAATACAAATTATACTTTGACTTAAGAATTATACATTGTATGTATCCGACTCTGTCAAATATATTTGATTCATTCTATTCAATTAGCTATTTCAACACAGTAAAATGATTGCTTTCTACATCTATAAATTACAAATATGATTATCCCGTATTAAAGAATAGATAAGCAAATTGGTTATAAAATAATAATAAGCAAATTGGTCTACAGTACCGGTAAGTTTTGAGTTTATATATTTAAAATATTATTTTCAACTAACATAATTATATGTTATTTAATTATTTCAAATATTTTAAATAAATAGCTAATTAAATTGTGAAAAAGATAGTTATTAGAAAAATAAATGGCTCACTAAATTGTGACAACATATTTTTCTATTTTCGGCAATGTGTTATTTAATAAATTTTTGCATATTGATATTGCATGTGTTTGTTATCTCTGTGAACAAAATATGTTTTTATGTTTACATAATGAATCAATAAATTGCTTTAAAAATAAATTATTGTTTTAATTTTTGTTTGGATTAATGGAATTCAAAAATAAATTATTGTTTTAATTTTTGTTTGAGTTAATGGAATCAAATGGATTGGATGAAATTTAATAATATTTGATTGTTTAGATAATTAAAATTGCTTCGAATGAAGCATAATTAAACAATATTTTATGCTATTACTTACTAACATATTTCTTCTATTCCGATTTGAGTGGAATCAACAATGGTATTTTAGTTCCAGCTCCACTCTATTGCAAAAATAGCTTTAGTGTTGAAATTCGGATGAGTTGGCATAACTAAATGACGATGACATCTAATAAGATTTTCCGTAGAGATCTGATTTTGTTTTTAATTTAAATATAATTTGTTACTGTAACAATATACTACATAGGGTTAATTTAAGTAGTGCTGTTAATAATTAGTTAATCTATAAGTATTTTTTAGCAATAGTGGTAGAAGTTCAAATAACGCTCAACACAAAAAGGTTACATTTCAACTAACTCCCCTCTCTCCTCTGTCAGTGTCATTTATTAGTCTCTAGATCACATGAATTTTGAATTTCACAGATAAAGATTTCCTGAATTTTTATATTATATGGCTGGAACAACTTGACATGCAACATGTGGGACCAAACAAGGAGAAGGACAAAAGGCATATAGTAGTATACTAACTCAAGAAGTTTAGATTTTTCAAATGAAACGGTCAAGTGACATGACATAAAGTACATGTCTGTTTCTTCTGTGTGAACAAGTTGTGCTTTTACGTGTTACAAAAGAAATTAAGTTGTTTTAGTGTTTTGAAATTCTGTTGAGTTGGCACAATTAGTTATGATTTAATAAAAAATGCTGTGTAAATATATATTTGCTACTACAATAAAATACAGAGATTATTTAATTATTAATTAATAAATCTATCAAAAAGCTTTAGCGAAAAGGTTATTTCAGCTAACCCACACCCACCTATCCTCTGTCAGTGTCATTTATTAGTTTATAGATCACCGAAATTTTAAATTTCATCAATAAAGGTTTTCTGAATTTTGATATTTTAATAATAATTTTTATAGATGGTCAGCACAACTTGGCGTGCAGCATGTGGGACCAAAAAGGACAAAAGGAAGATATTCCCGTGAATGCATTAAAAACAGCAAACCTCACAAATGCTTATCAATAACTGCAAATTACTTCTAAATTTGAAAATTAATTACTTTTTTATTTTTGTGCCGGTATGCTAAAAATTTATGTTGTAATAAAAATAACGTAAAATAACATGATGGCTTTTTGATATAGCACTTTGAAACTTCGCTATTTACTTGATATGATAAAACTAAATCATGTACAAATTTATCTGTAAAATCTTAGGCACCTAAAATCCAACAAACTATCTTGTGGGGTACATTATATATTTGCAAGATGCAGTTTTGTACATTGCCATCCCCTCTTGCCATTGAAGATCAATAATGGCTCATTTTTGTAAGGGGGCCTAGAAAAGGGATTCCAGTACTTGAACCGCTGAACCTAACTAAACTGTCTTCAACCGGAAGCCGATTTGATTCACATCGACACGAGGAAAATGAATTAGCTGTCATGTAAGATGGAATGTAATGTGGGTATTTAATGTGGCTAGAAGATTATCTCCTTGATTATCAACAAAACTAGCATGACAAAGCACATGATAACAAGGACCGTTGCACATGTAATCATCCCTCCTTTTCTCTGTGTTCTTTCCGCCTGTAAGTAAAATGTTTTAACAGATGATACCGTGCTTAAAGCAGCTAGAAAATTCCTAAACAAAGGTTCATAAACACACCAACTCACAAAGAATAAGCAAAATATTAGATATTAGTAATGATTTCAGAAGGTAAGAGAAAACAGAACCTTTTGTAACTGCTTAAAGCCCTCCTCAACAGTTGTAGCAACACTCTGAATGTTGTAGTCGATTCTATCTACAATTGTTCCCTGCATGAATATCAGCTTCTTGAGTTACCTTTCACTAAAATAATAAATCCATCTTGTTTTACCATAAGGAGGGTTGGGCAATTGGCCGAGAAGTTCAACTCAAGGGACAGAGTTCAAACCATTAAGGACAGTTGTAATTTGTAAAATGATCATTGTCATCACTTTAATTATTGATAATTTTCTGCTTCTCCAAAACAAATTATAAAAGATTGGGGCAGTAACCTGGTCTATCACAAGGACAGAGAGATCCTTCATGATCTGAGCAAGTTCGTGGACTGAACTAGCGACCTACAGTAAATTTCACATGGTCAGACAAAATACACAAAGTGTTTGTCTACAAGCAATAAAACAGTTCCTTCAAATTACCTGATCAATTTCTCTTTCTCTTTCCGCTGAGATGTGCTCGTTTTTCTTTAGCTTTGTCATTTGTGCTTCACTAAAACCCTGAAACCAATCAAATACTGTCATCTCTTTCTTTGTATGAAGCTTCATTAGGATATGAAACAGAATGAAGAATATATATTTCATTAGCATTTCATGCTAAGAACAGAAACAGTTGGCCTAAGAAACCAAACCCTTACAAAAAAAAACACTAATGAATCGCACCAATCCCTTCTTGAAAGAGCCTACAGGATGTGTAATAGAAACAGGTACATAATTGGATTTAATAGCAACAAATGACTTCTATTGATGATAGAATATGATAACACCAAAAACAGTATGGTAAACTAACCAGACAATGAGAAAAACAAAAATGCATTTTAACGACGTAGAAATTAGAATAGATAAAATAATAATATGACTAATCTGTTACTGAAGAATGAAAATTTGTTACTGAAACAGAAGGCATTTTAATGAAGAATAGAATATGATTACACTAAAAATAGTATGGTAAACTAATGAATCACACAAATCAGAACTTCAGAATAGAAAAATAATTAATATTTGTTACTGAAGAATGAAAATCTGGACAGCAAAGTAGAAATAATTATCCTCCAAGGGTTTCCCCTTTAACACAAACTGTCTAATCTTTTGAATAAATACTTTCAATTATTTCCTCTTATTTATTGACTGTTTTCTTGTTCGTGAATCAAAGTATTAACATCAATTTGGGCCTGATCCCAAGGTTGTCGATTGAGATTTAACCAACAACTGGGAGGAGATGAAAGATTAAAACTCGGAGAATCATAGAATGTAAAATTCTTCCAAAAATTTAGGATTGTATGCAATTAAAAATATGATAATATAATTAATCAATAGCAGCAGTAATATCACTAAAATTCAAGTAAAATTAAAATATTTAATGTATAGCTATTGTAATATTAATATTTTTTATTGATTGAATAGCAATTATGAAAACAAAATGCAAGAGAGTATACCAGAAAAACCAAAGATTCAGTAGAAAACAAATAAGTGAAGCCCAGAACAAGGCCAACTTCTAAGTTTAAAATAACTCTGTTACCAATCGTGTTGCTTTAGCACACGATCGTGGAGCAGAGTCGGCGTCCAGACGTGTTTGGTCAGCAGCTGTGCTCAACAGGTGTGGCAGTCATGGCCGCGAATCTAAGCAAATTGCAATCTACTTGTGCATTTGTGTTGGTGTATAGGTTAAGCAGGCGAAAGCACTCAATTACCCCCTCTGTTTTAATTGTTCAGTTTTTTTTAAGGGTATATTGGTCCTTTCGTTTTATTACAAGTGACCTGATTACCTTCTCCTCAAGCAAAGCCCTCTTCTTCATTCTTCTCTTTTTATTTTCTCCTTCTGTTTTATGTGAAGTGAGAATAACATCGATTCTTCAGGTTTCTGCAAAACCATCTGTTCTTCTGGTTTCCACTGTTTTCAAGTGTTGACCTCTTTTGATTAATTTTAGAACTTCAATTAGCAGTTAAGTTATATTAGTTTTAACTCTTAATGTTAGTGACAAATGTTTATTATAGTTATTAAATATGATTAGTTACCCCTTTTATTGTGTATTTTGCTATTTTGTAGTATTTATGTATTCTATTGAGATTTATGTTTAGTCTGTATAGTATTTTTTTAGTTTTTGCAATAGCAGATATCCTGCTATCCTTTATACCAATTTAGCAGTTTTGGAGTTTGGCGCTCCACATCGCTTTCCGAGATTAAGGACATAGTTAAGAAAACCCATAATAGTTGAAGATGGGTGTTCAACCCAAAAAGAAAAGAAAAAGAGAGAAGAGATTGCAGGTCTAAACCAAAAAATATATGGGTCACAAGCTCATAGCCATAGGTTCAAGCACAAACTTGAAGAGAACGTCATCCACGAACCAGCAACTGTGTATATATAAAAATAGAGTAAAACAATTACGTCATGTTTACCCTTTCCATTTCCTATTCTCATTTCTAAAATAAATTACTATTGAAAATTTATGTTTGCCTAGCTGTCTCATTGTGAATTTCAGAATACAAAACCAGTATTTTTAAAAATGCTAAAAGTCAAGTTCATTGTTTATGAAAATTCCACTGTCACTAACCACTGCATATGGTGGTCAAAATGTAAGTTGAGAATAAGCATACGGTGGATTGGTGGTGGCCGTAAGACGAAAGAAGTTGTTACAACATAAAATAAAAAAATAAAAACAGAAAACATTTTGAGTATGTGCCTCAAGTGTCTAAAACCCACAGCAAAGCAAGAAAAACTCATGAACAAAAGGTTCTTGAGGATACCTAATCCTCCTCGCCAGAGGAAACGGCGAGAGGGGAGAAATAGAGGAAAATAAATAAATGTCATTGCATTCATGATCTAAAAAAAAACCACGGCAAAGCTATAAAAATGCAAAAACTCGTGACACATAAAAATATGCACCTTATTTATTAATTAGCAATTATTAAAAACTATTTTTATATGGTTATGCCCTATATATATATAATGATATAACATCGATATATTCCAGAACTGTGATTTTAAAATCCGGCATACCATAATTTAGTCCCAAATCGCCCCAGCACCCCCACACACAACTTTTGCAATTAATGGAAAGTAATAGGTCAAAACAAGTAACTGCCAAGTTTGAACTAAAATCTTGCAGCTTCACCATTACAACTTTGCTTTGGTTGGGAAAAAATCGTCAAAAAGTTACTTGTTTATTCCATTAGTTCACAGATTGAGGTTTCTTAAAATAATAGTGTCAAGCTAGAGAGAATAATTACAATAAACAACATACCATATCATCGAATTCATCATCCTGCAATCCAGATTTACTCCCGTTAAAGTTAATCTCCAAGTCAATCCCATCATAACCCTGTGTGATTACAACCAAATATAGAAGTCAGCGACATGATATAAAATAAAAACAGGTGCAGTTCAAGGCACAGAGGACTTAGGGTTGGGAATGGAGCAAGTGATAATAAGTTCAATCATTAAAATACTACATAAAAAAATATATTAAAAAAACAGAAACAATTTAATAATCATAAATTGGTAAACAAATAAAGAATAAGGAAGAGTAAAAATGTAGGAGGATGATATGAAAGAATTTGGAATTGAAAAATTGGCTACGCATGAAATGTTGCAACCTCTTGCTGTTTCTGCAAACGTTTCAAATATGCTGACTGCTTCCGCCGGAGGTCCATTGACAGGTTCTGAAGGTCTGTAGCAAGTGAACGCTGATGAAAGGAACAATAGAAAATCGGTTAAGTGAAATTAAAAGAGATGAAAAGGCCAAACAAAGACAGGATTTAAATTAATGTAGAATAATACATGAAAAACAAGGAAGAACGAGAAAAGGCAAGGTTTGGGTTTTGAAGTATGGGAGAGACTAAAGCTATAGTTCACCAATAACACCAGTTATTCATAGTTGAATTGAAGATAACCTTTCCACACTACTCTGCTTACTCCTAAGTCCTATCTAAGAGCAAGCAGAGTAGTGTACACTGCATTCAATTTTTCGACAATTACCTGCACATTTTTTCTGACGTTAGATTCCTCAGAAGATCCTCTCCCAGCAGAAAGCTTTTTCAGCCTCACTTCAGACTTTCTGAGGAGAGCTGTAATTTCTCGCGTTAGCGTCTCAATCTGACGCTGATCGTCTTTACCATCACCAAAGGAGGGCATTAAAGCCTTCGCATGAGCTTTAGTTAACTCCGACATTTTAACCTTAGCACGTTGTATATTCGTAGCTATTTCTTCAGAATCATCCACCCAAGACGGCGGCAAACCCACAGTAAAAGCATCACTAACACGCCAAAACACAATATTTAATAATTAACAGCAACACCTTTCAATTTTCAAATGCACATTTTGAATGTACCAATTCCAACAAAATTCAACCACTATTGTGTCAAATTCTAATACTATTATAATTTACATCACTATAATCGCTATAATGCATAGAATTGAAATAGAAGAGTATAAAGGGGAAAAGAAAAACCTAGAGGAGGATGGACCTGGGTCTTGGGTACTGAGAGGAGTATAAGAAGATCGATTACTGGAACGAAGAAGCGAAGTGTTGACCATTTCAATGACGGGACCACCGGAAGAAGCGGAAGCTGACGAAGAAAGAGGAGTGCGTAAGCTTTTGACGGTGTCTCTGTACTTTCTGAACTCTGCAGTTCGGTTTCTCGTTGCCATTGAATTGAAATCGGGTTTTGAAATTGTTTGGTTCTTCGATTTGTGAGAGTGGATTGGTTCTGAGAAACGGTGTGGAAATTGGGATTGGGAAGTGGAATTCAACTACGCCATAGCCATGGGTGTGAAGGTTCAGTTTTTGGGTTTAGGAATTGTGGAAGGGGTTGTTTGGTAAATTGGCGTTGGAATTTTCTTCTCTTACTCGAGAAGAAAGAGAACCCGGTAAACGTTTCTTCATACTTTTTCGTTTTCATTTCTTTTATCATTTAGTTTAAGTACTGTTTTGTAAGAATAATTACAGAATTTAATTTTGAGTTTAATTATGGTTGTGTTTGTATAAAAAAACTATGAGAGAATGACTAATGTAAATTATTTTTACACTATTAATCAATAACATTTATAAATTCTATCACATTAAATTGATATTTAAAAAAAATAAATAATATGATAAATTATTGAAATTTTATTAAATATCAGGATATATAAATTAAATTCAAAAACAATTTGCACAACCAATCATATTTTCCATATTTACCATATCAGATTAATGTTTTAAAAAATTATTTTAAAAATTTTAAATCAAATGGGTTCTCTTCTTTCCTAATGTTTGTTTGTCTATGATTTTTTTTTAAAAAGAATTGTTTTCTTAACATATTTGCCATATCAAAGTAATGTTTTAGAAAGTATTTCAAATATTTTAAATCAAAAGGGTTCTCTAATGTTTGTCTATGATTTGTCAAAAAAAATCGTTTTCTTTCACAGACATATTTGTCATTTCAGATTGATGTTTTAAAAAAGTATTTCAAAAATTTTAAATCAAAGAGGTTCTCTTTTTTCGGTCTTTGATTTTCTAAAAAAAATTGTTTTCTTCACAAACATATATGCCATATCAGATTAATGTTTTAAAAATGTATTTCAAAAATTTTATATCAAGGGGTTCTCTTCTTTCCTAATGTTTGTCTACGATTTTTAAAGAAAATTTTTAAAGAAAATTGTTTTCTTCACAAACATTGAAATTTCATAATGTTGTTTTTATTTTATATTTTGTTATAGGAGTACTGTTTTAGGATTATTTATGATATTAGGGCAAATTCATATTGAGTAGTGAGAAGTTTTGTATGTACGAATTTTATGTGATTTGGATGTTCAATTCTCAATTACATAAGATTTTCATTGAGTTTTTTAATGAAATTTGTCACTACCATGGACAATTATCTCAATTTTGGTAACAATGAAAAACTCAACAAAATCTCCAAGAACGGTTAGTTTTTAGGACAGGCCTTCTTCAATTAATTATAGAACTCTCGTTCTCAATATCTGGACTCAATTGAAGTTGAAGATGTAAGAATTTTGTTGCAAGATTTTGAACACTCGAAATAGAGGAAATTCTTGTTTCATTAAATCACACTGAAAATTATGATCAGAATGATAGATGATATTGTGAGAAATGATGACAAAAAGCTTTTATATGTGTTTGAGATTAAGCATACAAAATGGTTTAAAAAGTTAGTTAGATTTGAATCAAGAGTAATTTATGATTTTGAATCAAATGGGTAAATGTAGTGGAATAAAAGAATAACATAATTTTGAAGAAATTGTCAGTTGATTCGAATCAGAAAAAGAGTGATACAAATCAAATGTCACGTGATTTGAATCATGTGTAAATATTGTTTTGAAACAAATGTCACAACCTTGGCAGAGAATTTATTGACAAAATGAATAATTTGAATCATGTGCAAAGTTTGATTGAATCAAATCAAATAGAATTAGTCACCAAGAAAATGATTTGGATCAAGTGCAAATATTGATTCGAATCAAATGACTATGTTTCACTTTTGTCCAATTAGACCAAAATCAAAAATTCAGTGTAAACTGAATGATTCGAATCAAACATGAAAAATATCAATTTTTCAAAATTTTAAAGGCACTTTGAGATTAAATTAGGTTTATTATTAAAAAGGAATTAGTGGAGCTTATTTATTTCAGTACCTGGATTGAGAAAAAGCACTTAGGATAAAGAGCATAAACAAGGGTTAAAGAAGAAAAAAGGAAGCCATAGTTAGAGCTTAGAGTTGCTGGAATTTGAGGTATAGGGATTGTTCACTATGTGGGTGTTTATTGCAAATAGGATAGATATGGGTCATTACCCTCTCTTTCTTCCTTTCCTTTTCCTCCAAGAATGAAGGTTTTGAGGTTTAGAGATGGTTATGCAAACCTCTCTAAATCATTGTGTATTGTTGTTGTAAATTATTGATGATTGTTGGGTTGAATTAATGTGTTAAAATTGGTGTACAATTGTGTGTTGAAATTCGAAGTATGTGTTCATCATGATATGTTTGAAAGTGACGAAGATGATAAATAATTGATAATGATTTGATGTTGATTTGGTATATTTGATTTTGTTTGATGTTATAATTATTATATGATGAATTATGAGCATTCTTGTTTTTAGGAATCGAAATCGAAGCCCTGTAAGTGCTTTAATGGGGAAAATCACGAAAACAACGTTTTTGGGTCCTGAGCATTACCATGGACCATAGCAACTGCTACGAACGACAGTAGCAGCTCCCTGTATTTTTGTACTAAGTGTGTAGTTTTGGGCGTAACTTGAGTTTTGTGACTCCTTTTGAGGCATGGTTTGAAGTGTTGGGTAGCTGACGCGTAATACTACCTTGTAGTAGTGATTTAGAGGCTAATATGTACATGAAAATATTAATTGTATGTTTACTTGTAGATGTTTTATGAGATGATTATCGAAGATGTTGTGAATCTTGTTGTGAATTACGACAAAATTCAATATCAATTTGTGAGGCAAAGAACAATAGCAACCAAAATAAATGGTCTTCAGCAATAATAATCTGTACACGTATAATATAACAGAATAAGGCAAGAAAAACCAAATATTTGTTTACCCAGTTCGATCAAACAATCTACTATGGGAGAGGGAGTCGCTCTCCAATTCACTATACTCAAAAAGTTGTAACAAGAAATTACAGATGAGTTACAAGAAAATAACTTTCGCCTCCAGGTTCCCAAGAACAATCTTGAAGGCGCTCAAGAACAACCCTATTTTCTACCCAAGTGTTTCCCTACCTCTTCAACTCTTAATATATGAACCACTCAAACCCAAGGTGTAATCCAAGGTTTTCCTTGTGCATAGCTAAAACCCTATGTTATATCTTTAAACCCTTGGTCTCCCTTGTTGGTAAAAACTCTAAGATTGTCACACACCAAATATATAAGAGATACATATTTATAATAGCAAATATCCAATAAACAAAATCCAAAATCACATGGATCCATGGACCGAATTGAAAAAAGCCCAAAAACTCTAAAACACTATTCACCGTACGGACGATACTATTCACCGACCGATTTTTTTCCCCGACATTTCGTCCGACTTTCTAAAACTTATGATTTTCACGGTAAATACAATATCCAAAATATGTTTTCTTTCTCTTCATCAACAAAGGTTTTAAGGCACATTTACAATAATCTTCACCTTGACTTTAAATCGTGTTGGTACCAATTTAGCAATCAACAACATTGCTGCTCTCTACCAAGTTGAAACTTTAATCAATAACTTTGATCAAATTCAAGTAACCATTGAATCTTGATCTCACAACTTGAATCCACTTGTTCTCAATTATCCTTTTTCTACCTAGGTAATTTAACAATCCTACAAGTATGATTTTTCAACCACCCTTGACTCCACCTGTTTTCAAATGCCTCTCTGAAGGTTTTTCTTCTTTTATTTTGCAGTCCTTCAGTCACATTAAAAACATAATATCCAAGGCTAGCATAACCGTCCCTTTGAGATGCTATAAGAACCCTCATTACCTTATCATGAGTCAAATGATAATCAGTGATCTCTGTAACCGTTCCTTCACTATTGCTAGCATCCATAGTAGGAAACTCCACCTCAAACTGAGTTTTCTTTGTTATAGTTTCTCCCTTGATTTTCACTATTCTTCTTCTGAAGAAATTCTCTGCCAACCAAGTAAGTTGTTTTAACATCAACTCTTCCCAAAAAAACTCAATAACAACTCAACTGTAACATACATTTTTATCCCTTGATTTCTGCAAAACTCATTGTACTCCTCTAAAACTTTCTCAAGGCATTCATAATGCCTTAAACTCAAATCTCATAGTTCTTCCTTGTCATGAAAGCCTCCACTAGTTAACGATGAATGAATAATAACATTTGAACCTTCTAAAATATATAAACCACATATTTTAGACCCTTTAGCAATAATTAATTCATCATGCGAGATCTTCAACACTCCGTGTTCAACTCTAGTACAATAGCCTAAATCATCAAACATACTTATAGATAACAAATTTCGCTTGAGTTCTGGAACATATCTCACATTGTGAATAAGAAGTTCACGGTCATTAAACATTTTAAATCTGACTGTACCAATACCATGAACCTTGCACGCCTTATTATTGCCAAGGCGAACTACTCCATATTGCACCATCTTCAAAGTTTCAAAGTATTCTATTCTTGGACACATGTGATAAGAGCAACCTGAGTCAATTACCCAACTATCTTCAGTTTCCAAACTCGATACTACTAGTGCTTCAGCATCCTCATAACTTTCCTCACCCAATGCAACTACAACTTGAACAGAATCTTCACTGACCTTTCTTCCAGGATAATCCCTTTTAAAGTGACTGATTTTTTGACAATTAAAACATTTTACCTTTGACTTGTCAAACCTCTTTGATTTGGACATCCCTTTAAGCTCACCTCCTCCTCTTGACACATTTAAGCCTTCACCACTATCTTCAATCTTCAAATCTCTTGACTTCGAAAATTCTTTGGATTTCACTGTCGCCGGGATTTCATCCAAAGTAATAGTACCTTCCTTACCATAAAGAAGGGCATTCGTAAAGTGCTCAAAGGATTTGAGTAATGAACTCAACAGGAGCAAAGTCGTGTCCTCGTCATCAATCTTCACTTTAATATTCTCAAGATCATCGATAATCTTGTGAAATTC